GTCCTGCGAAGGAAGCTCCGGGCAGGCAAGTGTGGAGCCACCCTCGACTTCACCAAGCAGGTAGGGCCTGGGGCACCATGTCCCACCAAGAACGTGGCAGGATGGGGATGCCGGCACGTCCCAGCCCGTCCCTGTCCTTCGCACACAGCTGGGCCACTTCTTCGTGGATCACCCAGAAGATGCATTTGGTTCCCTGGGGCAGCTGCTGCACCAGAATTTCTACCTGGGGAACTCCAAGCTGAGGGTCAGTGTCTGTATGGGGGTGACAGTGCCATCCCCCACTGCAGCTGCAAGTCCCACTGCCCCTTCTCCTTCTGCAGAGACAGGCCCAAGACAGTACCATCCAGATGACAGCCCTGAAAAAAAAAGACCGTTGGGAGGCCAGGCGGTAAGTGTCCCCATGTGCCCTGCCCTGCAGAGGGCTGGCAAGGGCTCTTGCTCTGTTCCCTGATCTGATGCCATCTATTCCCCTGCAGTGCCTGCCCCCGCCTGCATCTCATCCCCCGCCTCCGCTGGTTCACCCACCTCTGCCGTGACTGGCTCTCCGAGGTGCCACTGGGGCTGCTGGCAGACTGCGTGCATGAGGAGCTGCTGCTGCAGTGGGCCAGCCTGCTCTTTGATGACAGCCCTACAGGGGGGGCGCTGGCCTGGCTGCCCCCAGAAAACATGGGGACACATGTGGGCCGCCTGGTGTTCCCTGGAGGGCAGGGCCTGAACCACCTCTGTATCCTTCCGCACAGGGTGTCCCTGGGGAGGGAAGTGGGGGTCATGTTGCACTGCCCTTAGCTGGCATCCCAGATTTCCAGGATGTGGTGCTGGAGGAGGTGCCCCGTGCCCGAGGTTCCCCAGCACAGTTTGAGCTCAACGGACGCATCCGGCAAGTGGCTGCTGCCCAGGTGGATGGGGAAGGTGAGCCAGCCCCAAAATTTGTACCCCAGGATCCCTACCTCAGGCTGGGCAGAGTGTGGGGTGGAGGGATATTAGGAGCCCCTGGGATGCTGCTGTCTTACGCGCTGCTTCCTGTCCCCTCGCAGATTTTATTGGTGTGCGCTCAGACTATCACTGTGGTCTTTGGAAGGTGCCAGGCAGGACAGGGGCAGCCCCCAGCCCGCTGCAAGTTATCCGCACCAGTGTTCCTGTCTCTTGCCTCACTGTCAGGTAGGTGCTGGGGGAACGGAGCTTTGCAAGGAGGGGGCTCTGCAGCCCTCCCTGCTGTGGCAGATGCTCTTTTCCCCTGTGGTGATGCAATGCCCTCAATCCTGCAGCCCTCACCTCCCCGGGGAGCTGGCTGTCTGCACCCAAAGCGGAGCTGTCTACCTCTGGAGCGTCGAGACAGGGTGAGTTGGGGTGCTCAAGAGCCAAGCTGGGGCTCGCACCAGACTTCTAGGTTACATGGCAGTGGGGTGGCCCAAGAGAGGGGAGTGATGCTACCCTGTGTGAGTGCTGCTTTCTCCCCACAGGCTGCAGCGGCTCCGCCATGACCCCGAGACCATGTTTTTCCGGGACCATTCACCCTGGCGCTGGAGTGACTTCACCGCCCACCCACGGTTGCTGAGCTGTGCCGATCGCACTGGTATGCAGTGCCTGGACACCCGGGTGAGCTGGGAGGAGGAGCATGGGGCCAGTGGTGGGCAGGGGAGAGGGTTCTCTAGCCCAGGGTGCTGACAGCACACCACTACACTGCTGCAGGCCCCCGAGAGATGCCACTTTGACTTGTTCAAGGTGGGCGAGGAAGCCAGCTGCCAGCAGGGCGAGCGGGTGATGCTGCCCATGTACCTGGGCAGGGCTCACCCCTCTCAGCACCTCATCACAACCCAGGTGAGTCCCACCACACCTGTGGAGGACAGCTACGAGCTGTGGGAGAAGGATACCTTGGCACCACCTAGGCCTCCAGCACCCACGGGACAGGAAGATCCCCCAGCTGAGGGGGGCTGGCCACAGCATTTTGGGGTGAGCCCCCCGGAGCCATCCCTCCCGTCACAGTTCTCTGTATATGTGCTGGATGAGCGGTTGCCGATGGTGCCTGTGCTGAAGTGGGCGCATATGATGAAGGCGCCCCCGCTCTTTGCTCATCTGACGCCAGGGGGTCCCAGGAGGAGCC